GAAATGCGCCAAAGGTTTTGAACAAATGTTGCTGATAGGGTTCAGCATTGATTTGAACATAAAGGGAACCATTTGAGAAGGATTTCTATCTTTTTATGGAGTTGCAAGCGTCAAGATATCATGTTGATTTACAAACAAAACAAGATACTGCAATGCCACTTGCACTTTTCTGTTTACTTGCTTCCTTTTAGACTCCTACCCGCTTCTTTATCTAGATGACATCACAATGATTTCTATCTTTTTATGGAGTTGCAAGCGTCAAGATATCATGTTGATTTACAAACAAAACAAGATACTGCAATGCCACTTGCACTTTTCTGTTTACTTGCTTCCTTTTAGACTCCTACCCCTTCTTTATCTAGATGACATCAATGATTTCTATCTTTTTTATGGAGTTGCAAGCGTCAAGATATCATGTTGATTTACAAACAAAACAAGATACTGCAATGCCACTTGCACTTTTCTGTTTACATGCTTCCTTTTAGACTCCTACCCGCTTCTTTATCTAGATGACATCACAATGATTTCTATCTTTTTATGGAGTTGCAAGCGTCAAGATATCATGTTGATTTACAAACAAAACAAGATACTGCAATGCCACTTGCACTTTTCTGTTTACTTTGCTTCCTTTTAGACTCCTACCCTTCTTTATCTAGATGACATCACAATGATTTCTATCTTTTTTATGGAGTTGCAAGCGTCAAGATATCATGTTGATTTACAAACAAAACAAGATACTGCAATGCCACTTGCACTTTTCTGTTTACTTGCTTCCTTTTAGACTCCTACCCGCTTCTTTATCTAGATGACATCACAATGATTTCTATCTTTTTTTATGGAGTTGCAAGCGTCAAGATATCATGTTGATTTACAAACAAAACAAGATACTGCAATGCCACTTTGCACTTTTCTGTTTACATGCTTCCTTTTAGACTCCTACCCGCTTCTTTATCTAGATGACATCACAATGATTTCTATCTTTTTATGGAGTTTGCAAGCGTCAAGATATCATGTTGATTTACAAACAAAACAAGATACTGCAATGCCACTTGCACTTTTCTGTTTACTTGCTTCCTTTTAGACTCCTACCCTTCTTTATCTAGATGACATCACAATGATTTCTATCTTTTATGGAGTTGCAAGCGTCAAGATATCATGTTGATTTACAAAAAAAACAAGATACTGCAATGCCACTTGCACTTTTCTGTTTACTTGCTTCCTTTTAGACTCCTACCCGCTTCTTTATCTAGATGACATCACAATGATTTTCTATCTTTTTTATGGAGTTGCAAGCGTCAAGATATCATGTTGATTTACAAACAAAACAAGATACTGCAATGCCACTTGCCTTTTTCTGTTTACATGCTTCCTTTTAGACTCCTACCCGCTTCTTTATCTAGATGACATCACAATGATTTCTATCTTTTATGGAGTTGCAAGCGTCAAGATATCATGTTGATTTACAAACAAAACAAGATACTGCAATGCCACTTGCACTTTTCTGTTTACTTGCTTCCTTTTAGACTCCCTACCCCTTCTTTATCTAGATGACATCACAATGATTTCTATCTTTTTTATGGAGTTGCAAGCGTCAAAGATATCATGTTGATTTACAAACAAAACAAGATACTGCAATACCACTGCACTTTTCTGTTTACTTGCTTCCTTTTAGACTCCTACCCACTTCTTTATCTAGATGACATCACAATGATTTCTATCTTTTTATGGAGTTGCAAGCGTCAAGATATCATGTTGATTTACAAAAAAAAACAAGATACTGCAATGCCACTTGCACTTTTCTGTTTACTTGCTTCCTTTTAGACTCCTACCCGCTTCTTTATCTAGATGGCATCACAATGATTTCTATCTTTTATGGGTTGCAAGCGTCAAGATATCATGTTGATTTACAAACAAAACAAGATACTGCAATGCCACTTGCACTTTTCTGTTTACTTGCTTCCTTTTAGACTCCCTACCCTTCTTTATCTAGATGACATCACAATGATTTCTATCTTTTTTATGGAGTTGCAAGCGTCAAGATATCATGTTGATTTACAAACAAAACAAGATACTGCAATGCCACTTGCACTTTTCTGTTTACATGCTTCCTTTTAGACTCCTACCCGCTTCTTTATCTAGATGACATCACAATGATTTCTATCTTTTATGGAGTTGCAAGCGTCAAGATATCATGTTGATTTACAAACAAAAACAAGACACTGCAATGCCACTTGCACTTTTCTGTTTACTTGCTTCCTTTTAGACTCCTACCCGCTTCTTTATCTAGATGACATCACAATGATTTCTATCTTTTTATGGAGTTGCAAGCGTCAAGATATCATGTTGATTTACAAACAAAACAAGATACTGCAATGCCACTTGCACTTTTCTGTTTACATGCTTCCTTTTAGACTCCTACCCCTTCTTTATCTAGATGACATCACAATGATTTCTATCTTTTTATGGAGTTGCAAGCGTCAAGATATCATATTGATTTACAAACAAAACAAGATACTGCAATGCCACTTGCACTTTTCTGTTTACATGCTTCCTTTTAGACTCCTACCCGCTTCTTTATCTAGATGACATCACAATGATTTCTATCTTTTTATGGAGTTGCAAGCGTCAAGATATCATGTTGATTTACAAACAAAACAAAGATACTGCAATGCCACTTGCACTTTTCTGTTTACATGCTTCCTTTTAGACTCCTACCCCTTCTTTATCTAGATGACATCACAATGATTTCTATCTTTTATGGAGTTGCAAGCGTCAAGATATCATGTTGATTTACAAACAAAACAAAAGATACTGCAATGCCACTTGCATTTTTCTGTTTACTTGCTTCCTTTTTAGACTCCTACCCGCTTCTTTATCTAGATGACATCACAATGATTTCTATCTTTTTATGGAGTTGCAAGCGTCAAGATATCATGTTGATTTACAAACAAAACAAGATACTGCAATGCCACTTGCACTTTTCTGTTTACTTGCTTCCTTTTAGACTCCTACCCGCTTCTTTATCTAGATGACATCACAATGATTTCTATCTTTTTATGGAGTTGCAAGCGTCAAGATATCATGTTGATTTACAAACAAAACAAGATACTGCAATGCCACTTGCAGTTTTCTGTTTACTTGCTTCCTTTTAGACTCCTACCCGCTTCTTTATCTACATGACATATCTAATAAATGGCCAGAGCTTCCTCTTACTCCTTTATTCCTCAAACTGTTCTCCAATAATGTATACCACTTCCACCTTTCACCTAATAATTCCTCCCTCACAAAATATTTTCAGTTCCTTACATATTCAACTTCCACAATGGCGTGTTAACAGGATCGAAGGTAAGTTTAATTCAATAATTTGTTTATCTCTTTCTTTTCCTTCTCTTCATATATTCCTTTAATGAATTTTTAAAAACAGGGTGCGGCAAAAGTAACGCTCTTTTTTATATATTATTATTATTATTTATTGAACTAAAGTAATTTCCAGTATTATAAGATGGCTTAAGATGAACTATGGCTTAAGCGTTCGGGATTAGTTAATCTTAATTTCTAGTTGAGTTGGGTAGGACAACATGAAGCAAGTGGGTGGCCTTCAAAGTCACCAACAAGACTTAACATCCCCAGACATGTTCTTTCGGGATGGGGGACAGAATATTCTTGCTTAGAGAATTTCCCGATTTAAAACAAGCAAAATAAATTTTCTGAAATTAATGTAGAAATGTGTCAATGGTTTTTAGAAGTGTTGCTGATAATGTTCATCATTGTATTGAACATGAAAAGGAGCAGTTTGAACATGGTAAATGGCTTGTTAATCATAACAAATCATTTTGTTTGACGTGACGATACTTATAAATTTTCTTAAACAACTGTAATTTATTTTTGTTCAATAAAAATTAATCAAAGGTAGCTACTTTTGCTGCATTCTGTACATAGTGATTTACTAAGTATAGCTTAGATGTGGCACAAGGCTGAAAATATAGAGCAAAAAGTAAGGACCCCACGCACTATTCTGTTGTAATTGATTTACCAAGACAAACCTACTAACCATTACAAAAATCATGTTGTTTTGAAGTGACAATACTGTAATTTATTTTTGGTCAATAAAAGTTAATAAGGAGTAATGGATAGCGGCTCGAATTGAGGAATCGGAGAGCCGAGTTCGAATTCCAGGCAAACCCATGACATTCACTTACATAATATTACCTTTGGAAAATAATCTCTTCTTCTCCCCACAGCCAATGCTAAATAGCATGACAAACCGGGTTCTATGGCAACTGGTCTACCACAGAATGAAATGGCAACCTCCTGCGAGAAAACATCCGCCTCGTCAGTCATGTATCGAAAGATGCATGATCGCCTAAGCGTGTATCATGCATGGCACACAACTGACTGAAATAAAAATAAAATCTCGTCTACACTCACTTTCTCAAAGACTGTCTTTTCTACAAATATGTTCATGAAAGCTGCTGTGGCGAGCTACTTTCATTGGTGCCCCAACTGCGGGAATTTTAAACGTGCTTCTAGGTCGGCATCTCTGTCCCATTCTTTCACAGTTAAATGTAACCGCCTCTTCTACTCCAACAGCTTCTTCTCTCGCTCTTCCCGACAGTGAAACTCCTTTCCTCCTACTTGCTTCCATGACAGTTATAATCTTCAAATATTTAAATGTAATGTCAATCGACATGTTCTGTTGCCTTGATGCTGACCCCCGTTCTTCTCTTTATCCTTTCCTCAAACTCCCCTCTTTACTCTGCTCTCTGTAACCTCTTGCATGCTAGTGGCACTCCCGTCTTGCGTGGGGTGAAATTCTAAAATAAATAAATAAATAAATAAATAAAATTAAAAAAAAATGAAATAGACACCATGTATATAAGATGATACGTTTTAAAATATATATATATATATATATATATATATATATATATATATATATATATATATATATATAGATATATATATATATATATATGCGTGCTGAAAAGTATCAATCAAAT